ATAGGACTACAGAGTCTCTTTCCCAAGGGTTTATGTTTCAGTCTCAACCATAGGACTCCAGAGTTATGTAGGTCTCACTCTCGGCCAGAGGACTCCAGAGTGCTTGTCTCTGGGATGTAAATCTCACTTCCATCCTTAGGTCTCCAAAGTCTTTCTTTTTCATGTGGCTCGGCCTCCTGACAGTTTCAGTGGTGGTCTTGATTTTTGGTCCTGGCTTCTGAATTGAGGGTCTCGGCTTTGTCACTGCCTTCTACATGTGTTGCGATCTAAATAAACTCCCAAATTTTGGAAGGAAAAATTTGTTAGTTCTAGCATACATTTCACTTGAGCTTTTCTTCTGTTTTACATGTTTGATTGAGAGCTTAGGAGAGAATGTGTAACATGACTGAAGTTGATGCCAGGGGTATTGTTTTGTAAAATGTGTAACACATTGACAACAGTGTATTACCTGCTTTCTTGTGAATGGGAACAGAACTCTGAGCACTCTTGCATTTTTATTTTATCTTATTTTTTTTTACTGTTTCTAGATGGAATGAGAGCAGCATGGTTCCAGGAGGGAAGAACATAACATTAAGCCACATACAAGTATGCAGCAAAATGGCTATACATATGTATACCGTAAGAACATTTTTATTTTTTGACCAAAGTATGTGTGTGGAAGTGACAGTTCTTTCCTTCGTGACTTTGATTGGACCTGTTATCCACATCTGGATAGATTATGTTGAACTGTAAAGTGTCTAGCTTCCCATCTGCAAGTGCAGAGACAAACTTGTAATCTTGAAGTGATGTCATAGCATATTTTATACCTTCGCATCATGCACTTCGGAGGGTTTTTAAGTATTTGGGTCTGGTGCTTAATTCCACACAGCCATGTTCCATGTATGGGGACAGAATGGAGTTTGAACTAACTTTCATCCTTTTTAAAAAGCCTTTTGGCTCAGATTTCCACTCTTTATAGGTCATATTTATTCAGAAAATTCAACAGATGGAGTATAACCTACCTGTGATCAAGTTTTTTTTCTCTTTAAAATTTAATCAATTAGAGACACAACAGAACATTTTGGTAGCAGTAACTCCAAGAATCTGTGACACAGAAGTTTATATGCTTTGTCATGGGTAACTCTTGGAGGGGTCATAATTTAGGGGGGGGGAGTTGAGTACCACCTTGCCCTCTCCTGCCCATGCACATGTGCAGGCATTACATACGGTGTTGCATGGAACACTTTGTGTTGTTACATCGACTGTATGCCATTTTATTAGCGGCCTCTGGTACGTAGCAATTGAGCAATTTTCCCTTTGTCACATCACAAGATGTGACAATTTTGGACAATCTGCAGTCCAGTTTTAAAAATTTATCACATTGTTTTGCAAAAGAGTCTTATAAAAATCTCGGGGTTTTGTAATTTACTGTACTTTTGATCATTTTGTGAGTGAAGCCACCACCTGACAGCAAAAATAAAACCTCAGCGACATCCTTCTGCATATAACAGTTTATCCCATACATATTACTGATATTGACAACTTTCAGATATAAGCTGAACTTCCTTCTTGTCTGGTCCCCACATCAAGCATGGAAATCTTTTGGTATCATCAGACAGTGGTATCTTACTGCCCTTTTCTACACAGTTGTGTATGGACCCAAAGATGTCTCATATTTCCTGTCATAATTCATATTCTGCTATCAAAAATACATTTAAGTTATGCAGTGGCAGGATTGCAGTTGATCCAGCGATTTTGCAGCTTTTGGGCATCTTTTGATAGTAAAGAAGTTTTTCATTTGGACATTGCTTCATGTGGAATAAAAGCACTTGTTCATGTTGCCACTGCACAGGTCTACATCAGAGCACACGGACTCAAAACCAGAGATGTTTTTGACGTGTGCAGGGCCTCTGAGTATCAGGAGTGGAATGAGTCTAGAATGTGTTTCACAGTTACCCCAGTATAGCATAAAAATAGACTTGCGGGTAGTGCAATGATAAGTGAAATGCATTCATACATTTTATCTCATCACTTTCTTATTTTCAAATTTACCAATTTTAAATGCTCCTTGGCAAATTCCAATTTCCAACAGCAAAGTTTGAAAACAAACATGATTACAATTTTAAATAATGAATGTGTTCATTTACGTTGTTGATGTTAGTGTTAGTCCTGACTAGTACCTTTTCATCAATTGAGGTCATTTTGCATCAAGTTGAAAGTGTGAACATTAAGAACCATACAGCCTTACAAATAAAGCCCCTATAACAAAGTGTTTATTACATTTTCTTTTCACAACAATGGATTGCTACACAAAATCATTTTTATAAGAAATTTGCCGTCTGAGATTTTGGAAGGAACTCACTCCATGTAAATGCAATTTAAATGTTCTCAAATTATGGTTTAGTAAGCTCTTTCCTGCTCTTTCCTGTACTTTTCGAGTACTGGTTTGGATGGACATGGACACTGGATGTTAAATACACAACAGTCAGATTGCAGAATAAAATGGGGACTTCAGACATCAACGTTTAATGAAAAAAAAAAGATTTTATCACAAAAGTACTCAAGAAGTACTTGACCAAGTACTTTTTGAATACTTTTTTCCTTAAAACTTGAGTTTTGCTGAACTGGGAGTATGTGAACTGTTGTCCATTGTTCTCTAGCTTTGTTCCCATCTAAGCAATTTAGTATTTGGCAGTGAACTTGATACAAATTCTTGATCACAACGCTGGTATTTGGCGATGAAAGAAGCGTAAGGCTGGTCAGAGGAAGCATTCATATTGACAAACATGATAGTGGTTTATATCCATTTGATTCAGTATAAAGTTTTTTATTCTTGGCTTAGATTTTTTTGGAGTATGTGAAAACTGTATGTGGAAGGCAAAGCTGTATCTTCAAGCTCATCAGACATTTTTTTGAGGAATGTTGTGAAGAAACAAAATTGAAGTAAACATGAGTTTGGATGTAGAATCATGCAGACAACAATATGATGTTGGTATAAATGTAAGCAGAGTTGGAATCAAGTCAGTCACAAGTCAGCTCACGTGTCAGGTGCTAGTCAGCCCACGTCAGGTGCTAGTCAGTTTACAAATCAAGTCAGAACTAGAGATGAAAAATTTGCAAAGGAAGGCCTTTGTTGTAGTTCATTTGAATAGCTTATGAGTTGACTTTGGACTGAATGACTTGTGACTGACATCTGGTGACTTGTGATTTTGTTACTGAATCAATTACATCTGTGAATGTAAGTCACAGTGACCAGTACATGAATGTGGCATGCTGATTTGTGCCAATTCACTTCTTTTTTTTACTATAGTCCACTACTGCAGCAAAGGTAGTGATTTTCCTATACCAAGTTTAGAGCTCATTGCTGATATAATACTGGTTCCACTTCCATAATTTGAAATCCAACTGTCAGTAAAGGAACCAGGAACCAGTCTGGTGTAATGTCACACAAGAAGTGAGGGTAACATTGGTTTTGTAGACTGATCATGTGAACAATCTAGTATTTTGCATGACCTGTGAAAATAGAGATATAACAAAGTTTTATTAACCGCATGTATAGTAGTAAGTAAAAGGTGTCTTATTTTGCCATTCAAGTATGCTGGGTTGTTATAGATTTGAAAATAGGTTTTTTGTAACTCATATTAGCTTTAGAATCTTTGCTACACCAGAGTTGGAATATTTGTTTCCTGAAATATCAAAATCCGTTCAACTATTTAGGATTTTGAGATGAGAAAAGGAAAACAGGTGTTATTCCAGACAACTGGTACACAAGTGACGTTTGGATTTATGCAAATACCTAGGTTTTGCAGTACATGTAGTTGTAAGATGTACTTGTATATTTATTACAGTCTTGTTTAGCTTGAGTTGGCTGTCTCCTTCTTGCTATTTTTATCTGAACAACAGATAAGTTGATAAATTGATATTAAGCGATGATATTATCCGGACATGTGGTTTTAAGCATAATGATTCCGAGGTATATTGGGTAAGTGGCTTTGGATTTCAGTTTGTGTAAGCATCCTTTCAAAACTCTACAAATTTCAGGTTGTATAATTTACAAGAGCCAAAGACATTCTGCAAATAAGAGCAAAGAAATATAATTATGCCTGTCTATGAAATGTGTGTCCTGATGAACAGTGAATGGAACCCAACCCATGTATTGAAAAATAATTACGATTAAGAACAAGACCAATGAATCCTAACTGGTTGCACAAACTGACCAAAGCCCTAACCCAGACTAGAGTTGTTACACAACATTGTCATACTAACAATTTGCCTTGAAGGCATGCAGTTTCTTTGGATTCACTGTGATTGATTGATTGATTGGAATGTTTGCTTCCAGTCACGTCTACGATGTGAGTTGAAACATGTTCATTGCGTTACCGTAGTTAAGAGTTAAGATATCTCTTGAATAATTTAAATGTGAATTGATAGTTACTCATTATCATAAAAGTTGGAGTTTAAATTTAATCCGCTGTGTCCATTTACGACAAGTTTGAGTGATGACTGCAGCCGACTATTGTGCGGCTAACACCACCCAAACGACGGACTATTTGTCGACCATTAGCACCGCTGGTTATCAAGAGCCCATTTCATTTCTCGTTATGGAGGGAACCATTCACATACAAATTTGCCTTTGTGTTTCAGTTCACCTTATAATCAACAGGAACTCACCGAGATCGTTCAGAGTTGTTCAGGTTTGGGCAGGATTATGCAGGGTTGGAACAAGTCGAACATAGTCTCTGCTGCTTGATCAGTGCTTGTGCACTTAAAAATAGAACGTCTTATTTGGCTTCCTGCACAGTACAAACTTGGCAAAGGAAAACGTGGTTAATCTGCCGTGAAGCCATAGGCACAGTATTACACCATAATGACTCTCACTGGATTACTTAGGGTCAAATCTTGTCAAGATTAATTGCTCTTATTTGTTGAAGTTGTATGATATTAGTGAAGTGATTTTAGACAAAGAGTGACTGGAAGTCGGCATTTCATTGTATCAGTTACACTGTGAGTCTAAAAATTCTGTGCATCATAATGTTACTTGATATTAACAAGCAAGGATATTATGTAAAGTTGGCACGCGAATATATTGCTTGGTGCCACTGGATCAGGAGCCAAGGCCTGACTTGGCTTCGGGTTTTATTAGTTGTATTATACACAACATCGATTCCGGAGGATTCTGGACGAGAATTTATGTAGTAACTGCACCAGTGGCTTGAACTTGACGCAGGAAAATGCAGCTACAGTGGTAGTTTATACCATGGAGGTACAAAAATTATATTATTTTGTATTCCTCCATGTTAATACTGATTGGTTCTTGGCAGGAGCGCAAACTCCAACGGTATTCTTCCACACTGTTTGCATTGACCATTACCAATGGGTGTATTCGTTATGAATGTGCTCTATCTGGCTTGTGTATAATTTCATGTCATACATGGTTATGCAATACACATAGTTGGAATATTTTCATTGTATACCTTTATACGAATAGTGTATTAGGCTACTAGGCCTATTGTGTGCATTTGACTACAACTAATATGGAGATGGGGTTCGTGCACGTTCAAGTCAACAAACTGCTTGGACCTGTCCAGGATTATTGGTTTGTTTGTTGTTTTTTGTTTTTGTTTTTTTTTTGTCTCGTCATACTGACTGTAATTACCGTTACCGTCGCCAGCGTCCAGGTCTGAGTTAAGGACACGGCGTCAAATGTCTCCGCCCTTCAACCCCAACCCCTGCATACGGAAACAGATCACTGATAATGATGGTGGTGCTGACGTTCTTTGATTGATCCTACATCCCAAGTCAGGTGTCAGGTTTTCGCTGTCGGGCGAGACATTGATAGACTGGGACAACACTGCGCTGGTACATCGGTACTGTCCACATCAAATACGCTTCATCTTCTTTCAATAGCCAGAGTAGTTTTTACCTTTGTATGAAAATCGTCAGACCCTATCAAACTAAAAGTCACACTTACTAACTCAGACTATAATCTGGGGAGACACCCAATGCTGCGGTAGTCTCGGGGACCCACGCATTCGTCTTTAAATGTCACCTATGCGTTGGAAATGGGTTCGTGTAACCAAGCATTAACATTCGAGGCTCCATGGCGCTTACGAAGTTACCAGCACTACAAACTTGATCAAGGGTAGCAGCCTGCGTAAGACCCTGTGCCTAGGGCCTAACTATAATAGCGCTGTGCGTTCACGCCACCGTGTATAGGGCAATGTGACGTCATATTTGTGAGACAATAATATTCGTTAATTTTTTTTTCATACAGTAGTGCCTTTTATTGTAGGTTTTCCCGGCCAATTTCGGAAAATGTGTAAATGAGTTAGTGATAGCAGCATTCGTTTTCGAGCAAAATAGAACGACCATTCAAATCTCCATTGCATTCAGTTGTATAAAGTCAGCGTTCAATTTCTCGATATTACACATGTTAAGTGTACTGACATTCATTTTTGTGTGAAATCGAATGCACCTCTGTAATCCTGCATTCATTTTAATTTGAACTCAATCAATTATCGGATATTGCGCGGACAATTTCGCGCCAAAGTTATTTAACGTATGCCGGGTCAAGAATTAGAATGCGTTTGTGTGCTAACAGAAGTTACATTCTTAGAAGTATTTAGTTGATTGGTTAAATTTTTGAATATTCATGATTGAAATAAACCAGTCATGTTGTCGTTGAAAGCGTACCGACTATTGTAGGAAACCTGTAAACACCGACGCTGAGGGAACCTTCCTTCCTTGTGCTGCGTTTCAATCATAAAAACCTTATTTTTTACATTAATGTTATTAACAAACACTCTAAAAACATTTATGAGCAACATGACATTTGTTATTAAAGTGGTGTCATGATTTGTGTAAAATTGTATATTCTATATATATTTTACAATCCGAAATCCGACGTACCTGTAACCTCGTTAATGAAACGTAATGCACATTCGTTTGAACGATACAAAACGAGGTCGAATGCTTGTTATTGCGAAAATGAAACCTGGTTTAAGCCGTTTTCAAAATCTACGCCAAATTGAATTTTATTTTACAAATTAGATGGAGCATTTTCCGGAATTGGCCAGAAAAACCTATATTAAGCCGCCTAGAGTTTCTTGTAGTGATCTTGCATCCAGTGTAAAGCCAATTCCTGTCCATTTGTTACCATTTTTTTACCAACCTGTTGTAGACGTCACGGGATCCTGAAGTTAAAAGACCTGTGCTGCCTTTAGATGCCCACCTCTGAGTGTGAGACTACATTTATTCACTGGTTAGTGACGGTGCAAAATACTTGCATTCACGGGCTGCACATACTTTCTTTGAATATATACCTGTATGTTTTATTCAGTCCTGGACTTTGTTGGATTTCGTAGACGTGCACGAGCCCTGGACATAGCACCTATACAGCTACAAGTATATCTGTAGCATTCTTCAAATTAGTAGATGGAAATGTTGTAATTAAGCAACTATGTCAAGGTTTGAAGTTGATATATTTTATGTAGTTATGTATGTCAGTTTTAAAGACATTTTCCAAGTAAACCTGGGTGTGGTAAGGTTTAATCTCTTCGCTGCAATAAAAGAGTTCAATCTGTGTCCTCGTTACTCCTCGTCGTTAATCTGTTTTATCGACGAGTGTGCTAGAAAAAGGTAAACACCGCTCTGGATTCCGCCTTGTGGGGTTGTAAAATGCGTTTGCCACAAAATGAGACCATGAAGAGAGATCATTTAATGGTAGAACATAATGATAATTGTTCATATAATAAACTCAGAATGTGCAGGCTATTGTCAGTTTATCTAAGGAAGGAATTTTGAGGGTTAACATTTTGACTCCCAAAAACTGAGAAGTCGGAGCCTTAGTCGTAATTCCTGTAACTCATATTTCCCTCGAATGCGTTCACCCAAACGTGTTTGTTCTTGTCGCTCTGAGGTCTTCACTGACCGAATGGGCTGAAAACCCTTTAGTGTTATTTTATTGAGGGGTCATTCAACATTTTTAATTTTCGAATTTTTTCAACATTGTTTTGAACCACCACCCCAATTTTCGACTAAAAACAAGAGATTTTTTCATTCAGTATTATACTACGCACGGTAGAGGCCATGTTGAATACCACACTGCGACCGCACGTACTAATTCCCATTGCAACACTACCTGATAAGTTCTTCTGGTCATAAAAAGCTCCTTTTTTAGCATGACCGCAATTTTAATTAACTGCCTCGTCCACCCGTGCTGCGGCTTCAACGTCTGCCGCGCCCGGGCAGCGCAGCGCCCGCGACGGAAGGGGCCGGAGCAGTTACATGCAACTGTAGCCTACCGGCCTCAGAGCCGGTACTATACCAGTACGACGCAGCCCCATCCCCCATGGAACCCCCATTGTTTATTAATGAGGGAAAGGCGATTTCATTTTTGTCTCTTTCATTTCCATTCTTTCAAAAGGCGTGTTTAAAGCCCAACTCTTTAGCTTCACCCCATAGAAAGGCCGTAAAAGGTTACATGATAAGAATTTCAAATTATTTGGCCTCCAAAAAGCAAGTTTCCCCCCCCCCTCCGTAATTTGGTTCTGGATCCGCCTTAGTACAGGTACATCATAGAAAACAAGCAGCTGCTCATACTCCGAAGTCCAGCATTAAAAACAAAAGCAAGAGGCAGACCGCACCAATCGTTTCCTGGAAAGATATCGCTGGATGAATATTAAGGAGAATCGTATGAAGACGACGGGCAAGATAGAATGTGGTTTGTTCTAATTCTAATGTGTTTAAAATATGTACAAATTGGTTCATGAAAATTGCACTGACTTTTGAAATTAAATAACCGGGGAAAAAAGAATTGTTCTCATAAATTGCGCACGTACATTGTAAAATACCTCTACTCTAACTTTCAAATGCCCTGCATATAAAGCAGCGACTTTTCAGGCTTCGTTTACATCTGCGCTTTCCTCTGGTGGGGCTCCATGAAATGCGTCCCACCTCACTACCACAAGACAGCACAGACTAGCAATATTGTAAATAAATCTAGGCCTATTCAGGAACGCTCATTGTAAAACAAACTCCACCAATTCCTTGGTCTTAGCTTGCAAGATCTTTCATTCATGAGGGACACAGGATCAAGGTTCGACGATAGGTGCATTCGAGTGGCTTCTAAGGTAACCCTTGCCTGTTGATGGTTGTGTGTGCTACGTCAAACAAGTAAGACTGTGGGGACGACGAGGGAAGTAAGTCAACCCGTCAAATGGATCAACAGGTCCGTTCCACAGCGCGAAGTCTGAGACTGGGAATGGAGTGGTGTTCCGACCTCACTAAAGATAACAAATCTACCACTTGAATGCATCCAGCAACATCAGATGCGGCATCGGTCACGAGTGTACTCGTGCATTCAAGATTCAAGATACTTTATTGTCGAGTAAAAAATGTTTTCACACGAAATTTGCCCTCCCACTGTCGGTGGAAATAAAATGACTGTATATTACATAAATATAGAAAATAAAATTACCAAGCTCAAAGCATTAATCAAAACCAGTTTCAAAAATATTAAATTCAATTACATTATGTTACATTACAGATAGGTCATTTAGTAATAAAAATAGATTTTAGAAGAAGATTTTAGAAATTTAGAAGAAGAGGAGGGGAACAGCAAAGACCTCGAACAAGGCGGAATGACATTACAAGAAACATGGCAGAAAATATAAAACCAAGACTACCCATCTAGTAAAAAATGCATTAAAAATACGGATGGCCCATGGTAAAAAAGAGGATTTCATTCTATTTGTTTTGCAAGAAAGTTAGCGCATTCTACCAGATCGGTTTCGAATAATAAAGGGGTTGAGACGATGGGTAACATCTGATGTAATTTCATTTCATAGTTTCATTTCATAACTTGGATACAACATGACACAGGTATTTCCTGGGTGTTCTGAAAGTCAGCATCAATTATTCTTTTAGCTTACTTGTCATCACGTTGAAGTATGTGATTGCACAAAGGTAGGGGGTCCAACCAAACTATGCAGCAGAAAATTCTTGTCTACTACACTATGCTCAGATAAAGAAGTTTCAAAATTCGGTCGCTAACATTATAAGATCCCAGTTTCCTTAAAAAGTAAATCCTTGAGTTTGATTTTTTACAGATTCTAATTGTGTTTGCATGCCAGTATAGTTTATCATGTGCAAGAGTTCCCAAGTACATGGAATCATGAACAATTTCAACGGGCATTTGTTGATTTCAACAGGTTCTTTAACACAGGTTGATTTCCGGAAATCAAATATCATTTGTTTGGTCTTTTGTGCATTTAATATTAAATAGTTTCGGCGACACCAGTCCACAAATCAGCTGATTTCATTGCCATAATCATTTTCGCAGTTATTGGTGATCATTCCAGACAAAGCAGTGTCACCTGCATATTTTATTATAAAATCACTTGTGTACAAAGAGAACAGCGAAGACGACAGAACACATCCTTGGGGAACACCTGTGTTTACACGGATGACATCAGATGCTGTATGAGCAAACCTGACCCTCTGTTATCCAAAGTGCAAGGTATAATAGGCGACCCGTCACTTACGCAAAAGAACTTGAGGGTTAATGGTATTAAAGACCGAAGAAAAGACTAAATAGAAGGTGCGCATTGAAGTTCTTGACTTATCGAGATGATCATAGATATCACGAAAACAAGTAACCATAGCATCCTCTACTTCACGTTTTGCTCTTTATGCAAACTGAAAAGGGTCAGTGAAAGTGAACGTTTCTGCAATCACAATATTGCTAACAATTTGTTTAAACCATTTCATCACTATAGATGTCAGAGCTACTGGTCTGTAATCAGTTAAGACAGTTGGGCTTGACTTTTGGGGCATTGGGACAATTATAGATGATTTCCATAACCTAGGAACCGTATGGCAGTTCAGAAAACATTGGAACAGCTGTTGGAACACTCCAGCCAACTCCTTGTGATACTATTTCAAGATCTTCCCCGAGATGCCGTCCGGTCCAGGCGATTTCTTTGGCGTTACGGCCTTGCACGTTTTCTCCACCCCAGCAGCTGAGACTTACAACTTGCTATCGATTACATGTACCAGAATAAATAAAACCAAACACCGAACTCGACTACTGGAACAGTGAGCCCCAAGTTAAAACGACAGGCCCCCTGATTTCGCTCGTTACCCAGCGCCCTATCCGGGCGCTGAGAAGAGCTGATGGCCTTGCAAAGATTTTAGTGAAGGAAATACGTCACACGGGGTCACAGCCAACGACGAGCAGAGCGTTGTGGGTAAATTTCTACCAGGTGCCGGAGCTCGCTCAGTGCGTTACACAAGTGGCAGTTATCAATTCGATATTTTTCCTTTTCTTCCTCATTGCTGAAAACATTCTCACTATATTTTATTCTTTCATCCAAAATTGATCAAAATAACCAATGATTTGAAATTTGTTGCCAAAACGCACGGGATCATTGATACATAGTGAAAAGATAAATTACCACATTGTGATTGTACCAAGGGCGTGTTTTAATCATATAGCCGACACTTTGCCCGTACCATTAAAATATTTCCATTGGCGAAACAAAGAAATTTAAATAATGGTTTTTGAACAGGAAGTGATAACCTCGTGGTCACAGGTCGTGCACACTTTGTAGCTAATCAGAGTGCAAAGGCGTCAGCCCTTCCCAGCGGCGGTGACGAGCGAACCCCTATTTGACCCGCCCGTCAGGTTGTATAGCGCCCTCTATGCGTTGGCTTTTTTATCAGGGTGCATCAAACTCATACTTTCAGTGAGGAGTAAGGACAAATGTACAAGTAAAGGTAAGCTGTATATAAAGTTCATCTCCTATTTATCATCTATGTTCAGCACTTAAGTTTAGGTTGCTTTTTCCACAAAAGGTCATACGACCTTATCCTGTTTTATATTCCAAAGGATCGATCTTATGTGGAAAGAGATTGGAGTGAGGTCTATCCTCTGCCAGACCACGGAGATGCACTTGTGAGCCATATATTAAATCAAGTCAGTGAAATTTACTCCAATTTCTACACTTCAAAGGACCACTGGCCCTGTTTTGGCCCTAAACGGATACATGTATACAGGCCCCTCGCCATGAAATCATCTAACCATTCCTAAGCGTGTTCAGAAATATGCATAATTTTACAGTGGGACTCCATTTCTTTCAAATATCTTGTAGAAATTCAAAATCTTGTACATGTAATCAGTATGTGCATTCAGTTGAATTCCAGTCCTCCAATCACGTATTTTCTCTTTTTCGGCGTACCTTTTCCCTTCCTTTTATTACATAATTCTGCAAACGCTTCCAGCTTCTTGTAAATTTGTTGTTTGTAGACCGAATGTTTTTGATTTTGTTTTAATTCTTTCCAAGAGACAAAATCATGAGAGATATTCACTGTGAATGTATTTTTTAAAAGGTCTCAGATGCCTTGTCGTTTTGGTAAATATTATTCTCATGATCAGTGTTCAGTATCCAGGCCTTTGTTGTTTTCACCAGGTAGGCCAGTTTGGTTAAATTGTCAGCTATCTGAATCTTGATGATGCTTTCCCGTAAAAGTCCAAGGTAAACACGTCTTAGGTACCAACTTCCTTGTCATGAGCGACGTTGAGCGCTTGAGAATTGGATGCACTTACCCGCCACTGTACGCCGGCACGGCTCAACAATTACATGGACGTTAAAGGATTGTTTAATACAAATCTTCGAAATGCACCTTTGTTTCTCAGTTTACTTTATTTTCAACTTTTGTTTCACTGTTTCAAAGGGCATTTTACCGCCTTCTCGTTTTTATGCTGAGTATTTCCTTATTCGTGAGCAAAACTATGATGTCATCTCAGGAAGAAGCCTCAATGCTACACTGGTTTAAACACAAAAAAGTCCTACATTTTTGTAGTTTCCTTGGGCTGTGTTTTCTCTTCTTTGTGGTTTATATGTATGAGAAAGCATGTATCCCTTTCTCGGAAATATTTTCAATCTGTAAATTCTTGGTTCATAAGTCGAGCAGAATCACCCTATGCACTCAACCAAGTCTTAATCCCTAGGAGACTTTACAGCAACTGTGTCCTCGGTTGTATGGGAAAGCAAGGATAATTTTAATTGTTATAAAAGTATACACTTTTCAATGCATTTAACCAAAAAGGAAAGTAAACGAGTTTTCAAACATTAAAGAATACAAAGTTGAAGAAAAATTGTGTCTAAGAAAAATTCATTGCAGGTACACGTTAAGGAGGCTTGCCATTGCTGTTTAACTTTATAAATGAACGCCGACTATAAACTGTATGGAGGACTAAGGACAATGCTCTTGTCCTTTTATCAAATTTTGAGTGAGCCACTTTTTTCCGAACTTGCATTGTGGATTTGTTTCACAAGTGACATAATTCCAGAGTTTTCTACACGTACTACCTGTACTCCGTCTGGACTAAACATTCTGTTTACTTATTGGGTTCTTACACTGGTCCTTCGTCACTACAAAAGATTTTACCTTGTTTATTTCCATCCTCGGACATTATTGTTGAATTTGTGATTGAAAACTTACGGCTGTAGACATTATCTCGAGGAAACCATAAGGAGTTTGTTTGTGAGTTCAGGAAAATTGGAGAGGCCTACAGGAATATGTATACTAGTCTTTTCTTCAGACCTCTTAAAACCTCTAAATCCTTAAAAATGAACCAGTGTATGGAAAACAGTATCCAGTGCACTACTGATTACAATATGTTATTGATAAAGCACGTGTAAATTTCTATTTATTTGTTTCAAATTTATCTGTTTTTGGGTGGGGGTGGGGGGTTTGCTGGTGTGGAATGTACGGTGTTTCTGAAATAAACGTATAGGAACAGATGTATTGCACATAACACACAAAACAAGTTCGCTGATAAAAAAGAGGTTGTTTTCTGGTTTGAATGTTGTTGAGAAATTGCATTTTAAAGTTTTAAATTTGGGCGTACATGGATTTGAATGATTAGATAAAGAAATACTAGCTACATTGAGAGATGAGCTGAACAAGAATAAAAACATTGAACTTTTCAGCGAGTCGGGGAGGATGCTCGAACCCTTAATTTACACCTTCGGCGAACAGCCTCGGTAGATACTGACAAGACACTCCGATTGACGAGCATTTCCTTCAATCTAATGTATTGTTAACATTTTCGAGATGAAAAAAATTACATTAGACTGGGCAAGATGGAATGTGGTTTATTAATAATTCTAATGTGTTTAAAATATGTACAAATTGGTTCATGAAAATTGCACTAACTTTTGAAATTAAATACGAGAAAACAAAAGCACTGTTCCCCCAAATTGCGCACGTACATTGTAAAATACCTTTACTCTCTAGTTCAAAACTTTCAACCTCTCTGCAAATAAAGAAATGACTTTTCACATTGATAAAACTAACAGTAACTAAACTATGTTAAATTTGCGTAGAGCCATTTGAAGTACGTTATGCCTAGTAAAAGGGCGATACAGGGTTAGCTTAAAAACAGTGGCGTACGAACGGGAGCACATGCACCCAGCCTAGGTCCGTATCCCCGGGTCCCCCCCCCCAAACTTTGAAATGTACAAAACCTATGAACAAGCCACAGTTCATTTACTTTCGGTAACCTCAATGTATACACCCCGGCTGCCTTGCTTAGAAATTCCACCCCAGTTGCGTCACTGCATCAAGATCTGACAATGACATTCGATTTTCTGTATTGTAAATTCACCTCTCGCAGATGAGAAAAATAACTATCAAGGTAAAGATTAATCAAACAGGAACAAAACAATCAGCGAAATTTTTGGACAACTAGTACCACTTCAGCATAATTATCATACATTGATAGTCAAGAGACGGACTGGTTTGGTGTCATGCCGTCGCCTCATAGGAGTACTACAGTTGTGCTCAAAATTATTCATACCCTCTGGAAAATAACATACTTTTCTAAATTCTTCATTTGTACAAGTTATTACATGTATGTTGATACTTTCACCATCTTTTTGTCTTTTTGTTGCAATACACAAACCCACGCGTGTGTTGGCTAAAATTCATTTGCACAATAATAGATACGGCCCAGGGTTCTTGTTTTGCTCCTGGTCAAAATTATTCATACCCCAGACAAAATCCCAAGGAAAAAATTGCTTTTCATTCATACTGCTTATTTTCACTTTCTATGGCTGCAAGAATCTTTGGCATGAAGCTGTTTCAAGATGTTAGAATAAATACCTTCTTTTGGTGACTTTGTATCCAAGTCTCTGATGAAATGCCATCTCTCCCAAAGAGTATGAAAAGAAAAAAAATTAAGATCATTCTCAGTAACTCGTCACCATGGCCAAGAAGACGGAACTCACTGAGGATATACGCCAGCGTATTGAGAAGGCAAAGGCTACAAGGCAATTTCCAAGCAATATGAGGTCCCTGTTGCAATAGTTCAGAGTATCATCAGAGAGCGTCTGAGGTTCAACACGGTGAAAAACCTCAATGGGCGTGGCAGGAAGTGCAAAGTATCTCCTAGACTCGCCAGAAAAATCTGCCGGAAAGCCAACAACAACCAACGGATCACAACCAAGGCCCGAATTGATACCCTTGACAAGGCAGGGACGAAGGTGTCCAGCGAGTATTGTACAAAGGAGGTCTCCACGGACGCAGGCCTAGGAAGACACCACTACTCAGGAAGAAACATAAGGAGGCTCGTCTGGCATTCGCTGGAGCACATCTGAACCAAGATCCTACCTTTTTGCCATCGGTCCTGTGGTCTGATGAGACAAAGATGGAGTTGTTTGGCCACACGGATGTTGCGTACGTCTGGAGGAAGTAAGGAGAAGCATACAAGCCGAAGAACACAGTCCCAACCGTAAAACATGGAGGTGGCGACATAATGCTACGGGGTTGCTTCTCTGCCGGTGGCACCGGGAACCTCATTAAGATACAGCGCATCATGAAAAAGGAGGATTATATCAAGATCCTTGATAACAATGTGAAAGCGTCTGCTGAGAAACTCCAGCTTGGACCTGATTGGACGTACCAGCAGGACAATGACCCCTAGTACTTCGCCAAGGTAGTTCAAGGACAATGGTGTCCGTGTACTGGTGAATGACCAAGTCAAAGTCCTGACCTAAATCCAGTAGAGGGATTTCACATCAGCGCTGTCTGTGGCGTATACACATCGAAACCGAGGCTCTCTGGTTGAATTTCGTCACGTTCGCCCACGAAATCAACTCAGTAAACCATGCCCACTGCACATGTAGTTCGCGGTAAATTGCGGTTTTTTTTTCTTTTGGTTTTACGTGTCGAGTCATCATGAAAAACTCTTCCACAAAAATTTGCAGCCTGAAAAGTCTGAATTTAACATACCTTTATGTTTTTTTTTGGTCTTGACTCCTTAATTTCAATCCTCTGGTCGTATTAAGAATTGAAGCTGACACATACAGCCTCGTTTTCATACGCGGAAGTGCGCAGATAGACGCTAAAAGTGTTGTATTGGGATCCTTCTATAGAGAATCTGTGGAGGGAGCTGAAGACCAGAGTGATGGCCAGGAGACCATCCAACCTCACCCAGCTGGAGGCTTTCGTCAAGGAAGAGTGGGCCAACATCACACAGGAGACATGCAGAAAGCTTGTGGACATTTAGGCCTATAGGAACCGTCTCGAGGCAGTCATCAAGAACAAAGGTCACGCTATTGACTAGTAAGAAGAGACTTTGGACTACGTAAACCTGGGGTTTTATAAGGAGCAAAAAAAAAAACAACCCCGGGTCGTATCTATTATTATGCAAATTAAGTTTAGCCAACACACTTGTGGGTTTGTGTATTGCAAGGAAGTACCAACATAATAGCTTTTGCAAATGAAGAATTTAGAAAGCATGTTATTTTCCAGAGGGTATGAAGAATTTGGAGCACAGCTGTATGTGGAAGCCAATGTTGCAAACCGTGATGGCTAAAGAAACAATATCTGTTTGAAGACAGTCGTTATTCCAACTTGTACCTTTCGCTTTCATGTCTATACATGTATTTTACGTCAAAATTATAATTGTTAGAAGTGATTTCTTCAAACATTCCACACACCACACGATACGTATTACCAGCTCAGTATAAGTTCTGTGATGTCGACCTCATATTTTTCCCCTTTTTCACGCCGATTGTCACTTAAAGTTGTTTCTGCCTTCTAAATTGGTTGGGCAAATCGTATTGAAATGGAAGGAGAGTTAACAATAATTCATGGATTTTGGGCTGTTTTCCGGCATAGGCCTACACGTACTGTAGAAGAGCCCTGATCGATTACACGACATACTGGAATACAATAAGGTGCAGTATAACGAAGCCCACTAAACACGAAAATGTGACGTGTGTACGAAGGCTATTCCGGTTAGTACAGGCTAAAAATGCACAGGTGTTTACGAAGACGGAATATAGACGAAGGACGAGTCCCTTCACAAGTTAATACTGGGTAATATACTTCATTTGCATTCCTGTCGCGTTGGGGCCATGGACTGAAACGTTTATATATACTCCAAATAGACTTAGTCCGTCAGAAAAGCCGTGGTATTGACTATTGAGACTTGACGGACTAGGGAAAAGGACTGAATTACAATGCCGATAACTTTAACAAGTACTGTCAGGTGTCATGTGTTCGTCTTCTTTTCAAGACACATAAGGATAACGTGGAGAAGATTCAACACGTTTCTCCGCAATATTTTGAGGAACATTGTAGATCTATGGAGTATGTGGAATATTTGAACCAATGCATGTTACATTTTCTCTGTCGTCGTGGCTTGTATAGCTTTGGCAAATAACACTGTCCTAATACAGTAATATAAATCTGTAATATAACTCAGTCTGTATTTGTCTTCGGATTTTTCAAATATGTGAACATGTGTAAATATAAGTGAGTCTCAGTGGACAAAAATTTAGGTTTTCTCACAAATATAAACCAAGTCTTCAATGGGTCAGTGTTATTGTCCTTCTTTTTTACCCGTGACATTACAATAATCCATATCTCTCATGTGCCTCAATCACAACCCTGATGTCAACAATAGTGCTTTAACATCTCCAATGCCGTATCTGCAAACTTTATTTTACAGAATTCTCTGTAGTGCTTCTTGTATCATTAATGGACAAACTCTACTTACAACAGTCTAATTTGTAGGTGTTAATTCCATTTTTTAATGTGTTCTTATGTAAGAAACCATTTTCCTACACGCCACACTGAAGCCTTTTGAATAATATCTGTACATTGAGTTTGACTTACTAATACTGGGATTGCTCTATCCAGGAATGTTGGCTTGGAAAGTCTTGGTAGCCAGCTGGTGTGGGCGCATGTTGAAGATCAGCTACAGAACTGACCATAACTCTCATAGCTTCTCCTAAGCCATGACTGGCTGTGCTGAGCAAACCAGGCATCCCCGCGTCACTGTAAGGAATACTGGGCATCATGCTTGGCTGACTGACGGGAAGGCTGGGGGAATGGTTCAGCGAGTAAACTCCGGTCACTGACGGTGGAGGGGAACCGTAGCTCTCCCGTGCGTTGAGAAAGCTATTAGAGTGGCTGGCTTGGGGACCATTAGTAGACGTGTTCTGGTCATGACTCGAAAATCCCAAAGGTCTTTCGGGATTAACTTCTGATGTCTCTATAAGGAGGAAAGAGACTCATAAAAATGAACGTTTTAAATATGGACATTAAGTACAAAAAAGTCACAACTACACAGAGGAGGCAATATGTCGAAAGCAGCTTAAATTCGTCTTCAAATAAAGGAAATCTTCAAGTAAAGAAACAGTAAACAAACACACTGGTTCCCCTCTGCTAGATTGGCCTTAACCGTAACACAATTTACTTTGGGAGGGGCTTACATTAAATATGGCCTATGTTATCATGTTTCAAACACTCAGGATGTGTTATCCTCATAAATATATTGTCATTATACTTTGTCTGTGATCGTGCCTTATAAATTGAGTAATTTCTCCTCTTCGTTAATCTATATAAATCATTTCCAGCGGAAATTTTGACATTACATGCATCCCAAAGTTGCTGATTAATTATAAATATAAAAAAGAAGTATACTAAGTTCACAACTAATTTTGCCTCTCGTACAATAGCACTGCTGCAAATATACAGGAGATTTATACAAAGGTTAAACGAAAAATCGTTACCTGAAAATGCATTGAAAAGTCTGAGACTTTTCAAATCCTGTGGCTGAATTTTTAAACATAGCTTTATAAATATTGATAAATTTGTTATAGTTACCGGTACCTTTAAAGTCCAGCTTTTCATCACTTGTTTCGAGCTTAATGGGAGATGCAAGTGATTCCTGTCCGCTCAGGACAGGACTACTGTTCTCGTTTCCTCTCTTGACCGTTCGAAAATATTGTCCCCAACGTTGGCGATTGGAATCTTTCTTCAGACGTTTCTCCTTCGCTCTTCGGTTTTGAAACCACACCTTAAACACAATTATAGAGACAAGAAACAGTTTTCTTCAATATTATTTTTTTACATGCATCCTTACTCCCTATTTTTTTAAATTCCTTAAAATATTTACAGACACTACTGAAAAACAACTGCAGCAAATGGTTCAGATATGTCTCAACTTAAACTTAAACCACAGGACTTGACAAGATTCCAACCTCTTACAATACAAAAATCAAAGGATTCCATATCATTCTTTCTCATTCCAGTAGTTCTATATCCAAATGTTGCCCGACTTAAGCATATAAAGGTATTTCTGTGTTGGTTTATTATGACGGACAAAATTTGAAAAGGTTTATACCGTTATCGGCCTACTTTATTTCTGTATGTGCTGAAACTGAAAATAGCTGATCACGCATAATAGCCACAATTAGGAAATACAAATTGTGTATATGAAAATGAACAAGTCCAAAGTTAATTACACCTAGGACTTTGCCTAATAATGGGATAGGGGCGAGGAACCAAAAGAAATCTTTTACTTTGGCGGGACTGGAGAGTTGAGTTGATTGCATGTTTCCTCCTTTAGGGTGGATCTATGTGCATAAATATAAAAAACACCGTCTTCAACGGTCTCATTCTTTTATACTAAAAGTGAAGTTGTAAAGTAATTTCTTCAAACGTCAAAGGGGAAAGTGAAGGGAAAGACACTTTTGGCATCCAAAATGCATTTTATCCAAATTTGGAATGAGGTAATGCTCTGGGCCTCTGTTTTCTATTGCAAGCACTTCGCAGAGCTTTATTTCCGTTTGAAAAGATTTTTACTCTTATAAAATATGTAACCGTAGACCTTTGCCCCAACAGAGGTCAGATATTACACGACTCGCAGATAAACATTTTTCATTTTAACAAGTTGTTCAATAGAATTTCAAAACCGAGGATGATACCATCACATTCTTTGATTTTCCGAATTTGAAGAACGTGTACGGAGGGACAAGTCACAAGCTTACTTGCACGACTCGCATATCTAGGCAGGTTTCCTGAGCAAGTTGTTCTCGAACATGTCTCGCTGGCTTGGGACTGTTGGAATAAGCCGTCTTTAGGGTTTCCAGTTGTTTCGCTGTAATGGTTGTCCGAGGACGTTTATTGGAATTATCCATCTCAACTTCTATATGTACAGGAAAGAATCAACAGCTTCTGACGTTAAACTGCGATTTTGGGCCAACAGATCATCAGAAGCAAAGAGCTCAAAGTTTTGGTGCACAACAGCCTGTGAATTGGAGTACAGTAGGAACCTTATAAGAACAGTAACCAGGATATTTGCTAAGTTTGGATTTATACAAAGTTTAATTCTTATTTAACTGTGACATTCAACGTATTTCACGCCACTGGGTGGCTCATGTTCGTGGGGAGAAAGGGCATTCACTGACTTAAGTCGTCGCACGAGGATTCTTTACGAGACCTGCGCCCCTGTGCCCTACCCCCCCCGTGTTCCCGTTACTTAGAATATGCTTAGTAAAATATCTAAAGAGTTTTATATGGAATTCTAACCCAGAATCTAATGGATTTTGCATGAGAAATGAAACTGTGACCAGCACAGGCTTACTGAACACCAGTCCTCCGTAATGTATTTGGACATAAAAATGGAGCGGTTGGCTCTGTAGATTTCGATTTATAAGTGATGAAAAAGAGGTAAATTGGAACCGTTAATTTTGTTCTCAAAGTTTGAGGATGTATTTCAGTGTGAAGAACCCTATAGCGAATCCATGTTTCAATTTGTAAGTTTCCATGTCAGATGTTGCACAAAGATCAGTTCATCACCATATCAAATAAGTTCTGGAGTTTTAATTTCAGAGTGGTCTCCTTATTTCATCAGTGTCAGAATATTATTCCAAACAAAGACCAAAGAATGAAATCGGTATATATTTATACTCCGAGCGAAACGCTTTGTCGATTTTTTACGATCAAAGTGACAAAATAATGTTTCAGCAAAGCAGCCGTATGAACATTAATATGACATTTAGAAAGGGGGAATTACCTTTGCTCCTTGCCACTTCGAAGTCATTCTTACACACGAGTTTGTTGTCGCTCATGAGATAAAATTCATCCCCCGTAGCTAACAGCCGATTACACATAACGCAAGCAAAGCACTGCAGATGATAGGCATTGTCTTGAGCTCGGCGTACTTTCTCTTTGGGAGCAATACTTTGATCACAGGCAGCACACCTTGCTCCATACCTTCTGTGGTGTGCAAGACAAAATATTTTGTACATAAGGGTTAATAAACAGACCTACAGTTTAAGTGAATTAACCAGAGTCGTATCCAGAGAAGGGGAAGAGAACTCGGGGAAATTGACTACCATGCACTCCTCCCCCATTGTTGTTTTAATTATTTTTTCTTACTGTCTGAAACAACGAAGATACAATATTTGCACCTACATTTTAAACTACTATTTCTGGTATAGCCTTCCATCCCAGTCCCCTGTGCCACAACCTGGGGGCGAGCTTGACCATCATTTTTTGGTGTGATTTGGAATTCCGGTCCAAGCCCCCCCCCCGAAAAATCCTGGCTGCGCCACTGCTTAGTGCTTGAATCCATTCGTGTTTGATGAGTATGTGATCGAATCGATACTGGAATTACTCTCCAACGATTTTGTGATTTGTGCAAAAGATTCGTACGAAATACTCAAAAGCATGGGCGTATATCCCACTATATGACCGGGGGCTGGGCTACTGAATAATCCCCTCTCTCTATCGTGGTGAGTAAAGATTAAAAGATATTTTGAAGAACCTTTCGGACTTCCCTACAAAGGAATTAGTATTCAACAGAACTCAAAATGGCAGAACAACAGAAAAAAATATATGAAATAAATGAAATAAAAATAAGTACGCCGTTTTGATGTAAGGTTCTGTGGGAGTGTAACATATTAAAAATCTACACTTGTCACCCCTTTGTGTCATATGGTGCCAGTACCCCCCCCCCCAAATTTCCATGGCTGGGCAAGTCATTCCCCCATACCCCTAGTTCCCGGCACAAATTTATGCCACTGCTCAAAAGGCTTGGATGTGTCCTATTTTTAAGCATTCAGTGTTTGCTGGCGCTGAGCTTTTGTCTTACTCAAATTCCTCCATGACGCGCTAAATTAGAGGAAATAAACTTTTCGAGAGTGGATTGTCTGGTTGCTGAGAGGGAACTCAAAATTCTGTCAAAGTATTTCCTCGTAGCTAAGGAACACAGACTTAGCACAACACACTGTAGTAAAACCATACACACACGTACACACATTACGTCTGCGTATTTGCGTGTTTTTTGTAAACATGTAACCGTTTAAAATTGAACACCTTTTGGGAAATACGTGTTTCGGAGTTCAGACAGTGTCACCACCCGATAAAAGTGTTTTTGTGTCTTATTATGAATACCCAAATGTTCATGTGTCTAAATTTATTAACACATCAGCACTTATTTGCTTAAGAAATAACACCACAACGTGTTGAGCTTTGGATCATTAATACTTCAACACGTTCATAAAGTTTTCCCAGGAAGGCGTTTAGGCCTAAAAGGCTTTATAACATGAACACTTGTTTTTACATTGCATAGTTTTAATGCGTAAAAGAAAGTTTGACACATTTCCCATTTTCAACGGAACCAGCGCGTATGGGATTGATCCTGCATGACACCTAAAGTGTTATTACTTTTTAGAAAGGATCATTTTTGTTTCTTAACCACCAGATAAGCTGGCATGAAGGCGCAGTTCTATAAGGTAAGGCAGGCAAATTTCTAAGCATGAGCATGGGCCTTGGCATAGTAAAACCTCCACTGCCAACAACAGGTCACTTGAAAACATTCTTGCTTCATAAAAAATGTAACTTGGTAACCTACTATATACGACTCGAAAAAGAAAAGTTTTTTATCCGCAACTGTAGTTTCGTTGTTTTCTAGAGCCACAAGAGCAAAGGGGAATCACGGGGCAATGTTGGATCCCACGAGGCATACTTGAATGTCTTTACCACGTTATTCCTCAATCAATGCCATCCAAACCGGCCTTTATGTGACGTTTCTCAAAACTGTCCTACTTAAGCGAACATTTCCCATTATTCTGGCATGACTTTCTTAAGATTCGGTTTATAAGAATTGTTTATATCCAAAGCATTTTAGATATCTATTCATCATTCTTGACAGAACTAAAACATCTTCTTTTAGAAATAGTTTACGCAGATCGTTCTGTGTGTTGCAGTCCGAAGCAGTCATCATTCGAACTTAACGCTTGTTAATGGCCATGACTCGCCATAGTTTTTACTTGACGAGTCTGACCAGTTTGTTTTTGACTTATGATGCACTTGACTACAGCTCCATTGTCTTGGCTCAACTACTTGTCATTAAAGGTTAAAAATTTATCCGGATTTGCATATTGTTTACAAAATAACGACAAAAAAGTCAAGAATGGCTGTTTGCTTTATTTGCAGTCAATTTCAACAGACTCCTATACGAACAAAATGGCATGGCAGTATAAAGTACTCAGTTAAAACAGGGCATTTGGCTCATGAATAAGAGCATGCACTGTCCATGCGATTCATGTCTGAACAAAGACACCTTTGTTATGATTTAGAAAAGCCATTGTTTCCATGGTGAGTGTACGCGGGGCTTCAGCCCCCAACCTCATCACTCAGGACGAGAGCAATCGCGTAAAAAGGACAATTTCACCATAATGACTGTTACATGCTGATCGTTGCTAGATGATGGCAATGTTGTACGTTTGTGATATACAGACTGTGCATGTAGCATAAACTATACGGCTAGTGTATCATTTATTTCCCTTGGGACGCGAGATGAGCGAATCTTGCCTTTCTAATTTAGCCAGAAGCCGGTATAATTTCTGCCGGAATGATTTGGAAGCAGTGATGAGATGACAGTTTGGATCTACAAAGCAAGCCCGACAAAGTATCGCGTTCCATGGAATCAACGCCTTGTGATTTCTCTGATTTCACATCTCTTGCTATTCCATCCATCAAACTAGACAAAATATTCGGACCCCAGTAGCTGATAAAATACAGTATACCCTACAAAAATCCTACACATTATTACTCTGTGTAACACTTGCTATCAATCAGATCTATAAGGCGCATGAAATAATACTTTTGCTTCACATCACCGACTTTTAAAAAACTGCAGACTACGTGGCCTTGGACCTTAACCCATACTAGTAGTGCCATGAGTAACTACACAGAAAACGTGAACGATACGGCGAAGGTATAGCATGGTGCCTTCGCGCAAATGGCACGCGCAATGGGCAGTGAAATCCTGACCGATCAGACTTATAGGCGCGCATACATTTTCGGATGAGCCCTTGAAGGTACTGTGTATACAGTACTTAGTGAATTTAAATGGCGAAGGGGGTAATATAGCTGAATGTTTGAATTTTCATTTTGCACACTAGCAAGCTGGGGGTCGTAGGTTAGAGTCCCACCCGAGCAGGTGTTAGAATTTGTATTAAAATTCACATCGATTTGTCATTGACAGCGGCAATAAAATGATTCTGACCTATGCATATTTGATGGAACGATACTTTCTTCCCTAGCATCAGTTGGCTTAAATGTTGCATTCATTTCTCAATGTAAAGATTTCATTTTAATACAGTTATGAGTGAATTTCGTTTTCTATTCAAAATTATTCAAGCGGTCTTGAGAATGAAAACTGACAAAATTGTTGGACGAAAGTGAAAAAGGGTATCGCGCTCATTGAGGGTCATTGTGTAAACTTAATTTCAAGGGCTCAAAATTTAATATAAGTACATGCAAGTAGCACTCCGTCGTGTTCAATAATTGCAGCACGATCACATACCAGAAAACATACCAGCAACATCAGTGCTAGTTTCAACTTCTTCCCGCCCTTACCTTTTTGGTCCAATTAAAAAGAATACGGGGCAAAACCAATCTACCAGGAAAGTATAACACAATGAAGTTGGCCAACAGATTTTCCCAGTCTTAGCAGGAGATTTGCATATCGACCCCTTTTGAGCCTATACTTCCCCAATTTCAGAAATCGACAGTTGTTAAAATTATACAGATGATCATTCAATGCGGAGTAAATATGAATTTAATAATGAAATGTCAACCAATATCCCAAACTTTTGGGTGTGTAGGTTTGGGTGTATTAAAACTTTCATTTGAGAGAGAACAAACCATCGGTGGTATCGCTTAGGAAAACGTCAACAAGATAGGATCCCAAGGGGGACACCAATGATTAAACGCATGCTTTGATTAAATTCCTTCTTTGAAACGTCCTAGCAGATGTGAAGTTGAGCGTAACACTGGCCTGTCGTGTTGTCTTTTCCTTCTCTCCCGCAATTAAATTTTCTCTTTCAAATCACAAGACCTTTCCTCCCGTTCAGCTTTTGTCATATGCCAATTTCATGGGTGGTTCTAGTAAGAGAACACTGGTTTATTTGCCGCCACAATAATGGAAATCAAGGATGGTCGCGTCTGCCACCTTATCTTCAATTTCCCTCAGTGTCTGTAGGCCGCTACTAATTCTTCATAAGCACAAAGGACGCAAAAAGTGTCTTCATCGCTGAAAAGGGGTATTTTTGTACCGAAGGTTTGAAGGTTTAATTTTCTCTGGGATGTCGTTAGAGAGAGTTTGGTGCTGTCAAAAGAAGCAAGGTAGCAGAGAATTTATCTGGCGATGTTGAGCGTGGTCTGGTCTGTTGGCTGGTCGCGTCAGGCTCTTGATTTCCCCTGATGATCATCTCTGTCAACTTGTGCTGATTCACCGCTCCCGAAGTGACCCAATTCGCGCTTGCACAGACACAATCACATAAATTAAATGGCTGCATATGCTGTGTCTCTTTGCGCATCTTCTCATAGCCATAACGACTATACTTGGTACACTGGACAATCACCTATCTGCAATAACGCACTTGCTCTCCTCAGTGACTGTGATTTATGCACTGTATAAAAATAAAGCCAAGACCAACGGGTCTTTCAGAAAGCTGTTTGTACAATTAATCATAACAATAAACGTTTGTACTCTACAAATAAAACATTTTATTTCATTTTTTTCACGTTTTCTTATATTGGTACAGGCAGTTCTGGAATATAGGCCCATCCCTAACAAGATACATGAATTAACAGACATAGCTCATGTAATGATTCCTTTTGATCTAACAGGATAATTTTGTAGGTATTATTTAAAATGATGGCGAGTTAAAGTTTCTAAAGTAGTACTTTCATGCAGGGAAACGACACTTATTTACATAAATGGGATCATCGTCAGAGGGGCTGCAGCTGAATAGTCAGGCTTTTATTACCTAATATGTTATTTCGCTGCTATATGTTTAAAAGTTATAAGTAACGAAAATTGTTGAACCAAATTAGTCTTCGAACTTCGTGCACATATGGTCGCCTATATGAATGTTTTGTTGTAATGTTTTTTCTTTTGTTCCTATATTCTAATCAATATTATACAACGATTTTCAGGTTAAAACGAAAATAGTCAGTGGCAATGTCTGAAAACACTGATGCAACCACTGATGGAAAAACCGTTCCTGATGACCCAGGCCAGATAACACCGTACTGGCCTGGTCCCTTTGCTTTCGCTGATTACTGTTGGCTGGGGTTGATTGCGTGAGCTCGGTGTCTGACGAGCCATGTCGTGGGGGGGGGCGGAGAGTAACGGCGCAGTGGCCAGCAGGTTGCTAGATTGATTAGTACCGTGACAGTTCTCTCTCGTCACGACTCGTAGATGACTGGAGCCTACCAAAGCCAAGCCGCAAGCTCCGCTACTGATTAATTTTTCTGCGAGCGGGTATTTGTTTACATCGCAAGATTGGTTGGGAGTCCATCAACGAAGGAAGGGATTTCTACAAAGTTTAATTTAGCGTGCTCAGAAGATTCGTAATCAGCCACCGTGTTTCCATTTGAGGTAACCTTGCAAACGGTGTTTTCTTTTCTGGAATACTCGTTCTCAGTACACAAAGCCAAGCTAAGACTTTGCGAGAAATGGAACATTTGCAACATGTATTCTGAACATCGAAATCTTAGTCGTGGTCAGACAATACAAATCAGTGTAAAGATGTGGGAATAATGAAAACACTTATGATGAATCCAAATACATGTACCCAAAACAAGATACTTAATCCCATTTTCTCAAAAACGTAACCCCTTCTTCATAGTTCTCTGGTTATTGTTTTACTACAAATAAACGCATAACTTGCAGACCCCAACGATGCTTCTTAAAATCTATTTGTAAATTTTTACTTAGTATTAAATTATTTGGGGAATTTTTCGTATGCTGCTGGCCCACATTTTCTTTGTATCTGCACTTAGAAAATATGATTTGCCTGGAGCTATTATGGCACCGAAGAGAGAGAGGGGAAGTAGTACGTCCTGACTCTTGGTAATTTATTAGGGTAAACCCCTGAGCAATCTATTTAATCAACTCTATTAATGCCAACAGCAACACATATGTTACTGTCGTATTTAATTCCCGGTGTTTTCTGGCGTTGTTAAAAATGTGCATTTCACTCACTTATTTCACTGCAATCTAGCACTACACGTTTCCTTCCGCTTTGACCATTTTTACGATTGAGGATAGAATAAATCCGTACACCACCAAAATACCTATTATCTTTATGTTTTCATTATTTATGTTGCAACACGACAAAACGGGACAATAATTCAAACTTCGAATCTGAGATTGGACTTCAGTGACAAGAGCAAGCTTTATCGAGCTGGGTACTCACTGTCACATCACAAATCACGTACACGTTATTAAAATTCTAAGGCCTATTCATTAAAATCATAATTGTGTTGAACCTGTATCATGTGCTACACAGAACTTATCGAGGCGATGTTGCGTATCAAAGACATGTCAACTCCTTTTAAGCTAGGCCTATCGTTTATTTCGTTCAAAATGAAGAGCGCCAATGTACAAAAAATACATTCAGAAACTATTAACACTAAATAAACAACTAAATGCAAAACTATGTGAAAAGAAATATACATGTAGTTTAATACAAATACGGAGAAATACGTTAAAGTTCTTAACTACTCTTCTGGTGATTAATAATTATTATTAGGAAAGATCTGAAAACATGAAACCACTTACTTGAAGAAGTCATCTTTGCAAAACAATTGTCCCCCTCTTGTAAAGCATCTCTCGTTGAGCTGCATCTGGCAATCCACACATTTGAGACACTTTGCATGCCACGAACGATCTTGAACTTTGTGAATAAATCTATCTAGGATGGATTGGTCACATCCGGCACACTTCGGAACACTCTCTGTAAAAGAATCATCATCCTCTTATTAAAGATATAGATTTGATACAGCACGGCGTTTGAAAACTGTTCTATCTTTTTCTTGAAATGGACAGGCAAACATCACGGTAATCCCTTGAAGACTGCATTGTGCACCGTAAACGAAATTCATAAATTACTTGCATTTTTTATTACTTTTTATTACTTTTAATTTCACACGACAGTCCCTTTTATAACGAACGCTAGTTCAAATAATTATTTCTTCTTTTATATTAATTCCTTTTGAGGGTAAATTCAACGATCGCTATACCGCTGACCCCTTTGGAGCAAAGAGCGTTGGATATATGCGTTATACTTGGGCTCGCAGCACAAGCGAATTCTCGGCGAGATTCGAACGCTGACTTCTTCATTCTGTTGCAGTGACATCAAATGACGATGTTGTCAATTACAAAATTAATGTCCGATCGGTGTTATAGATCTTTTTAATGATATCAATATAAGAACATCCCATGAAAACCGAGCACTGACAAAATTAAGTGCATCTTACCACTGCATTTTTGAACACTTATCTTCAAGTAGGCTAATGTAGAAAAGGTTTCCTATCGCTTGAGAGAGCGTATGACAACGATTTTTGAAAACAAACTTCAAGCACAAAATGATTCTTATTGAGAATAACGTATGATTTTTTCTTCCAAGAAGACATTAACTCCCTTACTAAGTAAGTTCAAAATTATTTGTATTTGGGTGTAGCGCTGCTGTTGGCTTGGACTTTGCGACTGTTAATTGTTTTCTGATTTATTCAAATTAAGTAATAGCATTAAATAAGTGCAGCACGAATTAGATGTTGATAGAGCTTTCCAAAAGGCAACCAAATGATCAGGAAGTCTCACTGCCAATATAGAGAATTTTACTGATTTTTAATATGATTATTATTCTAATCATAACAGGATTTTAGTTTTTTTATCTTTAATTAATTTCAGACTTTCGGTATTCCCCATATACAATATAGTACTTTAAAGGTTTTTCGACGTGGAATGCCTGAACCCAAAGCCGAACCTGTACTTTTACCGTTCTTAAGTTCTTCATATGGTGAATGAATACAGAACTGCCTGCAAAGCGAGTGTTCGATGAGGATTATTAAAAAGTTAACATTTTAAATTTCACCGTATTTGCAGATCCATTTGCCATCAAGTCAAGAGGCGAAATGTACACTTTGAAGATTGTCTGCACAAAAAGGCTGTATCTCGTACCTGTGCTTGTGTGAATTATTTTTGAAACTGTACGAAATTATCCTTAAATAAATTAAATCTGTAACTCGGAATTGTTAAACAGCATCTTTCTGGCTCTTCGTCGGAAATCAAACACATATGCGTCAAGGAAATCTGTTAAATGTTTAATTTTTTTCATGATGAGGATACAATTAACACAATTATTAGAACACTGCACTCAAAACACATGGCTCTGAAAATCGCTAGGAATGTTAGAACATCCTTTCAATTTCTAGTCTCATGTAAAATCAAAGCGACTGGAAAGGTTCGTTTTTCTTTATACTCAAAACCTATGCTTGTACAGACAGACTGAAAGGCAGCGTTTTGTCACATTGTCTAAAAGTCATTAGGCCTACCTGCGAAAAACAGACTTCAGTCAAGCAAAGCACAACCCACACAATAGACACTGGAAAAACTTCAATGTTTATCTCCAGAACTTAGGTTCTCTTTACTCATTGCAATGAATATGTTTGAACCATGTAACAATTATAAACCACAGAAACTTACGGCAAAATGGAAAGTCTTTAGTGTAACTGAAGTCAGCAGCATGTGACATCGTTTTGAAGACGCCGGTTACCAAATCGAAATCTGCAACAGTGTCTCTTTTCATGATAGAGAGAAGCTTCAAGAAGACACACCGGACTTACAAACCACAGCCTGCTTCCTGGTTTAAATAGATGTCTTAAGATAAAATCCAAAGTGCAAGTTGACCTTGATGTGGAATTGGAGGAGCCGATACTTCAGTGTGTTTTCGTTCCACAGTCCCTGGCTAGATTACCACGGAGCCTATCCAACCTCCCCTTACCTACACAAACTGCGCTGTTGTTGATATTTCGCGCGTCCTGTGGGCCACGTGCCTCGCTTAGTGGGCTTAGTGAGTCCGTGACAGACGGACTGAATGGAGACAGCAACTGCTGCCCACGCCACGTTGCATTTCATTGGACCACGGAGTTTTGACAAGTCACACAATGAACACCCTCCTTCATGTCAATGTTAAGTTGGGAAAATGGGCGGGGTAATTCCTGGTCCGAGACGTTCAAAATGGGTGTACCTCATGAAGTCAATGTTTCGAGATTATTAAAGATTCGGAAATCAAACACAACGATCCCACAACTTTTTCTAACCCACTTTTACTGAAGATTTGTTTTACCTACGCAACTATTGCCACTAATAACGTGATTAAAACTTCAGTAACTAAATTTCACTGACTGTTGACAACCGATCCAATATCCATCACCATTAAAAACAACGCTTTTACAGCAAAATGCCATTATTTGGAGCGTAGGAGTAATGTACATGTATTATGTGACATAGGTGTCACGCTAATAAATTCAAGTCGAAAAAAGGTTGAAGTGAGAGTTTCCCATGAATAAACAAACTTCGAGGCTACAAATTTGGGTAGTAACTTAAATACCCTTTCAAACTTTATTTTTCGAAAGTGAAACAGCCTGAAGAAAATTAAGTAGAAAAATTAAAAAAAAAGAACCGTATGAGATTCGATCTATAAACACCCATAATAGTAAATTCCTTTTCCTTCCCAACACTGGAGTACCTCGTTTGTTCGTTTGTTTGTTTGTCTGTCTGTCTGTCTGTCTGTCTGTCTGTCTGTCTGTCTGTCTGTCTGTTTGTTTGTTTGTTTGTTTGTTTGTTTGTTTGTTTGTTTGTTTGGCTGATTTGAAGTTGCCTTTCTGTTTTGTGTTTGCTTAATTTAATTGTATTGGTTGCCATCCGTCTTTGCTGCCAGAAGAGCCCTGAGTTTGTCGATGGCTTAAAATAATTCAACTTTCTTTTTGATTTTCTTTCTGTTATGACTCTCACAAATCATGAGCTATTTATTTATTCATTGATTGTCAAAAATGTATTGATTTTTCTACTTTATTTTTTGTAAATAATTAACTTTTTTGAATCCACTTGAACCTTATTTTAATTTTAGTTGTATGTGTCATTATTTTCTTTGCAATAAAGGTTCATTTGGAAAATGAAAAAAAATGTTTCTTTGTTTGTTGGGTTGTTGGCTTGTTTGTTTGTTTCTTTCTTTCTTTCTTTCTTTTTGTGGGTGTGTGTGTGTTTGTTTGGTTTGGTTTAGTTTGGTTTTTGTCTCCTTGACCCCACAAAATGATGCTGAACGTAATTCAGGTGCCTATTGTATTACTGGAAGGCTTTGAGCAGTGGCATCTGGCTACGGACGCCTCAGATCACGTGATGTAGACTTACTTTACTTTCTTCCTTCCTTTACAAAAGGAAAACGTGTGTGCGGGAAAAAGCCTCATCTTTGGGACATAAACGTTATCCAGAAAATTTTCAATGACTCCACAGAAAGCTTTCTTGTCAATGTGTGACTACATATACCAATTTTTTTACGATATCACAAAAATATAGATGCCTTAGACAATGCTAGTTGATCCCAGTTTTTCAAGGGAATAAACAAGATGTCCAAGTGCACACTCGAACGTCAGGAATCGGCAAGTGGATTAGCCAGCTGCATAGTCAAGCAGAGTCTGTTTGCAGAACAGTCCGCAATTTGGTTGAAACGTTCTTGTCATGTGCCGAACCTTCTAATAATTGCGTGCACGTGACATATACCCCTTCAATTAGCTAATTAAAACAGACTTGCTTTTCCCGAATCCGCGATGCGTCTGACATCGAAAACGTAAGGTAGATAGTTGGACAAATTCAGGTCTGTGTCGACATGAACACGAAAACAATGGAGGCAAATTATTTGAAGTAAATTCAGAATTTTTTTCAAACTTGTATACAAACACAATACTTCCAAAATACACAGCCAAAAAATAATCTCAATATGCGTGTATAGCTGGCACTGTAAAGGCACAGTACAAGCCACCCTGCAGTGATCGCTCCGCATGTCATACCCCCTCCATTCTGACTTTGATTTTTTTTTTAGAGAGAGGAGAGACTTGAATGGTGCTTTTCATTACAAGATCATACGAGTAGACTTTTTATGTCCTTATTCGTCATTTCCCATTGCTAAGATGCATTTCCGATTCCGGGGTAAGGCTGATAATTGTGTCTCCATTTCCTTTTCCTCTTTTGTTTTGTTTGTTTTGTTGCTGTAATTGCTGCTTCAGTTGTTTGTTAATGTTTTGTTGATTTGCTTTTGTTTTTGTTTCAAGGAGTCCAAACACAGGATCATCACATCACAGGATCCGAAACCATGATTCTATAGGGTACATGTCTGATCATATTTACGGTTGGATATTAACGTCGTCTCAAAAGAGACGCTCTTGGAGGTTGTCCCAGTCGTATCCTTTGAACTATGTTTATCTTAATGAGTATATCAAGTCTGTAGGATTGTAGACTTATCATTGTAAACAGCAGCCAAACCATACATACATGGACCCTTTCCCTATACTTACTCGACACAAAAAGATGGTTAACTATATTAGAATTAATATATCGACCAGACAGGAAAATTTAAAAAGTCCGATATATTCGTTGTGTTCGTCGTGTAACTCAAGTTTATGTTAATTTCTAATGAGATACATGTAATGTCAAACCAAAATGTGTGACGTGATCTAAACATGACATTTTGAGGAAAACTTTGATATGAGCTAATATTTCCAACACTTCATTGAAGAACTACTGTTCCGGGCAAGCTACAAGCTAAAAATTGGACATTTGGGGGCGAAGATAAAGTAAGCTTTTTATACACCAGAAAGGTAATTTGAACCCTATATCAATATAACGATGGTGGACGCTATGTTACTGTTTTTGCAAAGTAAGTCGAAAAAATGGAAATTAAACAACATTTCCAGAGCGTACGTGGGCACAAAGGTCTGCTGTGGGTCTAACGTGCTAAAAAATTTTAACTCACAAGTATTGTCAGTCTGTGACCATATTAATAGATTGCCAAAAATAAAGCTCAGTGAAACGAGAGAACTAATTTTCGGCCTAGAAAAACACCTGCCCCCAAAAAAAGACAGTTAAGAGAGGTACTGCGAAACGTCTGCACTTTATTGCAGACAATACATTTGCTTTGAACCAACTCATTCTGTTCTTGCCAACATGGTATATGAATTTCGTAAAGCGAACATGTTTCAATCAACAACTGCCAACAAAATTAGGCAATTAAGCCCACAGATACCAGAAGCGGCCAGTTCTTAGCTGGGCTCGCCAGCAGCTTACGAAATGTATGAAGCCCATCTAATCAAGGAACCTTCGAGGACACGGAATCTCTGAGCGCATGCTGTAGGCACCGCACACTGAGAGGCAATTTATTGAGGTAACTTGTGCACCACCCAAACGCTAGAGGTGTGGTTTTCTTCACGAGTCGCGTGGTAATTAGGACACATTATACAATAGCTCATGTGGAAAACGTTAGCGTTCCGCTGCGACCGCGTGATGAGGATGACAAGGCACTGTTGCGGGTGGCCTTTGGAGCGCAGAATTTTTGAGCTAAGCTCTGTACAGTTCCACTCCGCATCCGTTCGCATCTGCGTCTACTCTACATGATTTATCAGTTGTGGATGGGGGTAGGAAGATTTTGAACATCTCCTTCCATTCAGCTGACAATCACACTTTACTTCACATAAAACAAAAAGGTTGGCAATAATAAATGAAACGCTGCAATTCCCTAATTTGTTTACGAAATGTGCGAGAATACACGAGAAAGCCTAATAATTGTAAACATTTTCCAGGGGCACACCCAGTCCTCTCCCCCACAGCGGGAACGTACCATCGAACATCCAACCAGCCGCTTACACATCCCATTAAATCCTCAGTTCGTGAAAGCCCCATCCACCCCATTTTATTTTTAGAGTCATGGCGTTCGCGTATACCCTCATAACAGATCAAAGCACATTTTTTAATATACCGTACCAACCTTCTCAAAAAGAGATTTGAAACCCAAAATGCTGCCTGACATTAGGATTTAAATATTTTTTCCCAATATAAAAGGACATAGCTGTTTGTTCCTGTTAACTTACACTTTTTAAGTCAGCATATAAAAAGGGATTTTTAATGATGTGCAACAATAACTGCCAAATTCGCTTTTCGAATAAAACACTACCCCGATAAATGACTGCATCGAGAATTGTATCAATAAGGAAATAAATCAATGCACCATTAATCGATCAGTCCATCATGTTTTGTTCAAGCAAATGTTATGTCACTACGTGAACAAATCCAGGAGTAATTTTTTAAATGCTGAAATTATTTTCTCTCCTGTTTTTATTTATTTGTGGTCGACTCGAATTAACTCGAAGTAAATATTTGACTCGACTCGGCTCGAATGGTTGCCCACTGACTTGACTTGACTGAGTCACAATGTTGAAATGAGCTGACTCGACTTGAGTTACACAAATTAGTGACTCGTTACAATTCTGCCGTACACCATCACTTTTGCGTATGATCATGTCCCGCACAATCCACATGGAGTTATAGTACGAATCACTCGTCCCACACAGGAGTAATTCATCGAATTTGGCTTTACATCACATTCCAAAAATACGAACAATTTCAATAGACGACCAATGTCCGTTAGCCAAACACTGAGAAACATGCGACTGTCATGCATCTGATTAAACATTATTCAACTCTTTAGGAATCAAACAACATTATAAGTACTCCAGGTTGTGAAAGGTGCATAACAAAATGTTTGCAATGCTCATCAATGAAAAGTAAAAGAGTGCCTTCCTCTCAATTGGGTTTTGTTTTTTCCAAGCCTCCCTTGAAACAAAAACCGAAATTAAACGAGAAGCAAAGTGTTTGTCTTAACAATAAAAGTATCTGAGTGTTGACCCTACAGTCAGAAAATGATTGAGTCAAACTGAGAACAGCGATCCTCGCAGACTAAAGCAAACACCAGAATTGCATTGGCTTGGATGTGGACTACGGCGGCACTAATCTAATTTGACCAATATTGTCTCGATGCCTTCTAAGTTAATTCGATTTAGGCAACGTTCAGCGAGAATGTGTTGGCAGACTTGATGCGTTACCTGGCAAAATGAGAAGAAAATCACACAGTAGGAAAATGCTCAGAACAGCGCAAACCGAATACACATTGTAACAGAGAGACACCTGCACAGTTCCAGTAATCTGGACTTTTCGATGAATAAATAAAAGGTTCAGTAATGAGTAATGACAGTGCAAGGGCATATTACCAAATGTAACCTATTTTACAGGTAAAACTGATTTACGTCTTTTTAATTCACTCAGTGTAATTTTTAAGACTTTCATACAAACAGTCCTTCGGTGGATATGATGTAAAGTGGACAATGCTCTCCAAAAGAGGCATTTTTTAATGCGAAGAGAGGACGGCATTGCGAATTGTTTCATTTCTTTCATTTCAAAGTGTGTAAAACGTCCAAAATTTTAGTGCGACGCCTCAGAAAGAGCAGAAAGATTACAACAGAAAAAAGTGCTTCCAACAAATTTGGTTCGGATCCACACGTGAACAGTCACACAGCCATTGTATCATACAATGACGTACCGGTACAGATTTGACAGCTATAATGAAATGATAACTAACAA